GACCACTGATATAGTGGATAGAGTGCCAGATTGAGACTCAGGACACAGGGATTCAGAGATCCCTGCCTGTCCTTGGAAATTCACTGCAAGGATGGCAGTGGGAGCCATTCCTTGTAGGTCTCACACACCCCGATAACACTACTGAGGTTGACATAAGTCAGAAGCTTGAAGGCACAGAACACCAAGTTGGCATGGGGCAGCTTTGGGGAAGTTGGCAGGACTCTTTTTTCCTCTCCTTCCTTTTACGAACTGTAAAGAAAGGAGAAGCGATGGACTCCACAGCTCCAATATTTTCCTCTTCAAATGCTTCTGGGCTCTACCCCCAGTGGTAGCAAAAGGGGACGAGGACACAGGGGCACTCTCTGAAAGCAGAGGGGGTGGCCATTCCAGGTCTCGACCTTCCCTTTCAGCACCAGGGCCTTCAGCTTGGAGAGAGTCAGACCTCAAAGTCTTGGTGTTCACCTAAGTGGGCCTGCCATGGCTGACCATCTTCACCCTGAGCCAAATACTAAAGTGGAACGTGTCTCAAGTCGAGAAAAACCTCTGGAAAATTGGACACATTCCCAGAGGACTTTAGCCACTATTCTGACTCATTAATTCCAATGCACAAAACACGTATGTACAGTGGTACCTCGCAAGACGATGTTAATTCGTTCCGCGAAAATCACTGTCTTACAAAAACATCATCTTGCGAAACGAAAAAGCCCATTGAAATGCATTGAAACTGGTTCAATGCGTTCCAATGGGCTGAAAACTCACAGTCCAGTGAAGATCTTCCATAGGGGTGGCCATTTTTGCTATCTGTAAAGCGGGGAATCCATCCTGAAAACACAGCGGGGAGCCATTATGCACAGTGGGCGGCCATTTTAGAACCGCCGATGAGCTGTTTCTAAATTGTCATTTAGCAAAAAATCGGTTCCTGAAGCAGGGAACCGATCATCGTTAAGTGAATTTTCCCCATAGGAACATCGTTTTGTGATCACAAAAGCGATCGCAAAAACTTCATTGTCAAGCAGTTTCGTCGTGTAATGAGGCAATCGTTAAGTGAGGCACCACTGCATATAGACATCCCAACAAGACTTTGGAAGACTCTCCTTCCATTGTGTTCCTCACACCTGTGCTCTGTTCTTCATTCCTCCTACATGCCATCAAGTCAGTTCCAACTTATGGCAACGCTATAAATGAGAGATCTTCAAAATGTCCTCAACAGCTCTACTAAACACGAGGCTATGGCTTCCTTTTGGGACTCATTCCATCTCATATTTGGTCTTTCTCTCTCTTTTTTTGCTGCCTTCAACTTTCACCTCATTTTCTAGAATTGCAGATTCTTCAGTCATAGGATTCATTCCTATGAAGTTATTCAGGAGAAAATTGGAGAGCCCTCTTGTCACATTTGCTTTGACTTGGATTCCTGCACTGAGCAGGGGGGTTTGGACTCTATGGCCTTATAGGCCCCTTCCAGCTCAATTATTCTAGGATTCTATGGTTGTAATAAACGCCCCCACTTTCTTCCTACAGTCCCAGTACCTTCGGCCACATGGGATGCTCTCCCTCGGGGAGTGAGCCAATGGAAGAAGAGGCATTCTGCATACAGAGAGAGAGAGAGAGAGAGAGAGAGAGAGAGAGAGAGAGAGAGC